CGAGGGCCACGACGGAAAAACTAAATTTCAAACGCCTCGTGACATTTGATTCTAGTGAAGTTTGACTTTGCCCTCGTGATCATTGTGAGCCTCGTGACGTTTGACGCTTGTGGAATTTAATTTTCCCCTCGTGGCCCTCGTGAGCCTCGTGACATTTGATCCTCGTGAATTTAATGTTCCTCTCGCGAGCCTCGTGATGATTCATTCTCGTGAAACTCAATTCATGACATTTTATGACAATTTATGACATTTGACTATCAAGAAATTAAATTTTACCCTCGTGGCCCTCGTGAAGTTTGATCTTCCTGAAATTTAATTTTCTCTTCGTGATCCTCGTGAAATTTAATTTTTCCTCGTGACCCTCGTGACCTTTGATTCTCGTGAAATTTAATTTTTCCATCATTGCCTTCCTGACCCTCGTGACGTTTGACCCTCGTAAAATTTAATTGTCCCCCCGTGGCCCTCGTGAGCCTCGTGATGTTTGACCCTCTTGAAATTTGACCTTCCCTTTGTAACTCTTGCGTCCCTTGAGATTTGACTGCCATTAGACCCTCAGGGCCATGCAGCCATTCAAATACATAAAATACCGTTTGTTACATTTTCCACGTTTTTTACGTATTATACAGGTACTTTACATGCCCTCAACATCTCTAACATGTAAAAAACTGTATATTACGTTTTATACATTTTTTACTTATTATAGGGGTATTTTACGTGTAACGTAAAAAACCCTAGGATGGCTCGGAATGCCCAACCCTGAATTTGATTGTTGAAAAATATCAAAGAACGATTACAAATAATTACTAGCGTATCTCATAAACTAATCACCAATTTAGAAGTATTTTTTTACTTCTCTCAAAATTTTTTGGTCAATTCTCAAGTTCCCCTTATCATCAAACGTAAATTCTGCTATTTTTGTACAGTCTAGATAGTAATGTCTGGCTGCGCGCGAGCGATGTGTCGAGCGTTGTAGCCTTGACTCGGACGAGAATCGGAACAGAGATTCTCACAGGAGTGTACATGTGTTCCACGAAAAAAAAAATCTTTCGTGAGATTCGGTCATGAGTCGAATAGAGCGAAAACAAATAGTGATTTCTTTGATTCCGAATGATTTAATTGACTACAAATGACTTCATTATGACTTCAAGAAATGACTGCACAGTTGGAAATCATGAGACTTCGGTGATTTCAATGATTTCGGGGATTTCATTGATTTCGGAGATGACTGCAAATTGATTTCAGTGGCATGTGACACCATGACTTCAGTAGTTCCCAGCCCCTCGAGTGAAGATGTTGTTGAACAAACAGCATCCGGTTGTCTTTATGTACCTGTGTCATTTCTGGTTTCTTTGCAGGTTCACGAGAGTGGTAAGCACTTTTATGGAGATAATTACGTACTGTTTGGTCCATGATTGGCAATTCCAGCTATCTGCTCATTAATCCAGCAGTAGTAAAACCAGATTTCTTAACGGCTTGAATAATGTCATGTCTCATTGCTTCAGAGGACGACCAGAACGTGGGTCACAAGTGTTGCGAGTCGCAAGTCGCAACACTTTGTTCCTCTTCGTAACGTCTTATGTATCTACTGACAGTGCAAAACTGAAAACATTTACGAAGAAGGTTGTTAAAATTTTGAAAAATTGAGGCAGTTGACAAACTCGTCCAACATACTAAGGTTCACTGTTCTAATTTTTGACTGAAATTTCCGGTAAGCTGTTCAACAATTTAGAGAACAATCTTGTTCCACTAAAATTTAAGGGAATTTTATTTTTGGAAATACAACATTTCATGAGAAAAAAAAGAAACTGTTGAATCAAGATGAATTATTCTTAAATAGGAAATCAGTAGAATTTTCTGTATGTGGGCAAGCGCGAAGCGCGCGAGAGTGTATTCGCTGTATTTTGCTAGTGCGTGTAATACAGCGTTGCGTTCTACCGGGTGAAGTGTTATCGTAATAATTACTCGCGCAGCGTCGCAAGTAATAACTGCGATTACACTTCAGTCGGTAGAACGTTAACGCTATGATTACACGCACGTGCAATGAAAAATAGAAATTCGATATAATTTTCCAGTATATTCACAAATAAAGGTCATCATCATTTAGCAAAAAAGTAATTATTTAGCATCAAAAGTAAAATTTTACACTGGCATTGACATCTTTGACAATATCTACTTTTCGATATCCTGAAATCTCATGAAATCATAAAATCGTTAACTCATAAGACTATTTCGAATACCCAAAAGAGAAAGAAACTCTTTCACTTGATTTATTGTGCGTAATGATCCTACGGAGCGTCTCTTAGATCAATAACCACTCATTAATAATAAATAGAATTCAAGAGTGAAATGGTAAACCGGTATAAATCGAAAAATTATAATTTTACAGGAGAGCCGAAAAACTGGATTTACAGGTTCCAATCGGAATTTTCGGAAATTAATTGCTGATTTAACACGCATTATGTTACAGATGATTGTATACGGAGCCCCAGTCCCACGCTTAAATGTATCACTGTGTTCATTGACTTATACCGCTTAAAGTGGAGGACTATGAGAGATAAGTCGACTTATCTCGTCGAAGAGGTACACTCTTGCGAGATAAGTAAAGTTATTCCGTTATACTTCCAATTGATTGATTAGCTAAATTGAAATATTCAAGCAAAGAAAGACGTATAAATGAATTGAAAAATTAACTTCCAATCATACTGAAGGGATAGGCAGGCCGCATATTTCCACAGGAATAGATTAAACTTGGTCCCGAAACGCTAACTCTATCAGTTTTCAAGATGTGATTCACTGACCGCACCGAGCCAAATGTTAACTGTCTCCGCGCTTTTTAAAAACAATTTAGTGATGAATTTGATGAATTCAAAAGAAAGTATTGAAAATAGATTCTAAACAAGAGACTCGTGAGTTCAAACCCAACTCCAGCGATTTGCTGTATCCCCTTAAATAGATTAATAGGTTTCCCATGTCGCCCAATATGGGCAATGAAGGAGCTGAAAGAAGCAATAAAAACAGTTTATACATTCCAAAATTTTTTTCAATTTAATTTTTTTGAATTTTTTTATTTTATTCTTTATGAAATGTGTTGCAAGTTCCTGCAGGAATTTGCAACTGGCCATCGGACGAGAGCCTGCATTTGAATATTTATATATTTTTTCAAATGTTGATGAATTGGTTTCATGCGAAAATTAATTATTTGCCTACTAATTATACATCCGTGTGAATCCGTGTGAAAAGTTGGATATGAAATTTCCTTTATTATCTTCTCCGTAGATAAAGCAGAGCGCGTTCAACCATTAGTCAAAATCGACGTTGTGCAGTAAATCATATTCTCCGTAGATAGAGCAGGGAGCGTTCAACGATTAGTCAAAATCGAAATTGTGCAGTAAATTTGATACATTATTAAATATACATGAATAGACGATATTAAGTAAATAGAAAATGTAGTTCCGTGACATGAACTACCGATAAATTCTCTACGGTTTCCCAATCATGCGAAAGTTATGTGTTTATGGATACTAATTGTTTTCACGCCATATGTCTAATTACCTATAATTTTCCGGAATTCATTAGCTCAAGTCCTGAAAGCACATCAACGGAAAACTCGTTTAAAACTTCATATTCTCATTGAAAATTCTTTTAGACTAGGTATAAATCAATATGGGGCATTATTTTAACCACACAGGGCTATGAACTACCGATATTATCGATCAGCAGTAATCAAAATATAAATTTCAAACCCCCGTCCAGAATTTTTTTGACAATGAGGAATGTATTCGTTCGTAATAACACGTTTTACCTTGGAAATGAATCAATACAATTTCGATTGATGTCATCTTCCTAATAGTTTTATTGAATATTTGACATTCAAATATTCAAAAAGATATTGATGTGTAACTGTGTTTGATAACTTGGTCTTAGAAGTGAACATTAGTGTTGATCGTACCATCCCTAGGACTAACTAATTTTACATGTTACTAATGATAATACGTAACATGTTTGGAATCACAGGAAAAGATTGGATGAGAATTGCGCATTTTGATTCATAACGATTACACTAATTACTTCTCGACCTATCGTTGATTTTTCCTAGCATAAATTCTGATACAAAATTCATGCGAAAAGATCAACTCGGTCTATTCAAAGGTATCGGCAAAAAATCCAATCCCATCGTGATCTTCTGAGTCGATCTGGAAAAGTATCATTCAAACCATAAGACTTTTTTTTTCGTAAGTTTGTACCACTCTGAAGTTTCCAATCCGGGGGCCGTGACCTCAACCCTATCTATCGTGGTGAACAACTTGGGAGGTCTCATCCGTTGACCAAACTGACTCCGAGTGGGCGGGAGATTGAAGTTCTCTAACCTACACCCAGAGAGTAAACAACAAGCGATCGTCCCTAAATATTCCGAGCTGGCTGAACTTCTCATTAGGGACTCTCATCAGCGAACGTTGCATGGTGGAACTCAACTAACGTTGACGCATCTCAGGAGGTCTTACTGGATTATTGGAGGAAGAGCGCCAGTAAGATCCTTCATTCTCAAGTGCGTGGAATGTGACCGCCAACGTGGAGTACGTGATCAGCAACTGATGGTGCAGCTTTCACCGGCACGTCTGTCTCCAGGACGTGCCTTCTCTAACACTGGTGTAGATTACGCTGGATCAGTGTCCATCAAGACGTGGAAGGGGCGTGGTCATAAAACCCAAAAGGGTTGGTAGTGACCTTCGTTTGCATGGCCACGTCAGCACTTAATCTGGAAGCTGCCACCGACTACTCTGCTGATGGGTTCATCGCTGCCTATCGGAGATTCATNTGGAATGTGCCCGCCAACGTGGAGTACGTGCTCAGCAACTGATGGGGCAGCTTCCACCGGCACGTCTGTTTCCAGGACGTGCCTTCTCTAACACTGGTGTAGATTACGCTGGATCAGTGTCCATCAAGACGTGGAAGGGGCGTGGTCATAAAACCCAAAAGGGTTGGTAGTGACCTTCGTTTGCATGGCCACGTCAGCACTTAATCTGGAAGCTGCCACCGACTACTCTGCTGATGGGTTCATCGCTGCCTATCGGAGATTCATGAGTCGACGAGTTCATTGCAGGAACCTCTTCAGTGATTGTGGAACAAATTTCGATGATGCAGATAAGGAGCTGAAGAGGTTGTTCTCCACTGGATCAAAGGAGTTCCAGCATCTCTCAGCAGTTTGCCTGCAAGACGGTACTCGGTGGTCTTTCAATCCACCTGGCGCCCCTCACTTTGGAGGAAAATGGGAGGCAGCGGTAAAATCAGTGAAGTATCATCTCTCTCGAATGATTCGGGATACTACGCTGACGTTCGAGGAACTCTCTACGCTGCTTACCCAGATTGAAGCTGTGCTCAACTCCAGACCTCTACAGGCTCTCTCTGAAGACCCCGACGACGTGTTGTGTCTCACTCCGGGGCATTTTTTGATTGGAGAAGCTCCAATAGCTCTACCGGAACCTTCACTAGACCATCTCAACGATGGACGACTCTCAAGATGGCAACTGATTCAGCAGAGGCTGCAGTATTTCTGGAAACAGTGGTCTACAGGATACCTGCAGCAGCTTCAGTCCATCTCCAAGTGGCATCATCCGTCCAACGACATTCGTATCGGCTCTGTTGTTCTGCTCTCCGATGAGAGGTTCCCGCCAGCGAAGTGGCCTCTAGCTCGGGTCACAGCTCTACACCCTGGGAAGGATAGTCTCTCCAGAGTTGTGACCATCAGGACAGCAACGACGACATTGACTCGGCCGATCTCCAAGCTGGTTCCATTGCCAATCTCTACCAGCTGATTTTAAAGCTAGTCTCTGTTGACATTGTTGATCTTCTCTGTTTAGTGTTTCAGGCTCTATCATGGCTTTCTCGAGAACCTGGTCACCAACAAGTTGCTGACGGGAGGGAGAATGTTGAGGCTTCAGCCTCACGTCACGGCAGGTTGGTCCGCTGACCACGAGCGGCAGCACCTCCTGGACACGGACCTGGGTTACCGACCGTGTCCAACTAATTGGGACGGACGGCACCTGCCGCGACACTTGTCCCATCTCGTCACTTCCGCCTTCTTCTCTAATCGCCTCGTGACAAGTGTGCATCGTGCAATTCTCTCTCCGCGTTTACATCGTGAATTATTGTGAACATCTCCACTATGCAAGCTCTCTAATTCATTCCAAATTAATTGTCAACGATTAATTATCATTGTGACGCGGATATTTTTCGAGCTTTGTGTATATTTTATGAGAAATATAGACTTTTATTGTGACTCTACCCACGCGCAGAGTGACATTTATTTTTTGGTGAACTTCTCAACCCTTTCCCGAATCCCAGCTCTCCATCGTTTTTTTTTTTGTTTAACTCTCGCCGAAACATAATCTTATAGGAAATCTCATCTCAAAAATCCTATAGGAAATGTTCGAATTTTCCACCGGATTTTTTCTTACGTGACTCCGTCAATCATTCCCAAAATCTACATTTTAGGGTAGTCTATTTCCAGTATGTTCTAGTGGACGAGGCTTTCTTTGAGTGACTTCTTGGTGATGGAAGAAATTCATGTTCACTGCGAACTTAATTATCGTGGTTCTTCATTGAGTGTCACATCCATAGAAAATGATTAACTAGTTTGCATTATTTTGAATAATATTGTAAAATTGGAATGTTTCCGACTGTGTCAACTAACTACATTCATTATTAGATTTTTAATGCAGAACGTATCGCCATTTTGGAACTTATAAGTACTAGCGATCGTCGGTTTTAAAGTTCACGAGAGTCAGTTGAGAGGCATGAAGTGTTTGGAAAATTTGCATGGAAACAATATCAAGCATTTGGCAATAAGGATAACTGCCAATTTCGAACTTAGCCATATTGAAAACTCTGAGGAATAATGTGAATTTTAAGTAGTCGGATATGAGTGATTATTTCACCAACATGGTTCCGAACAATAAAATTGCGTTATAAAATGATTAATTTTCAATTTTTAATTATTTCCTTACGTATTTTTATTAATTGGAGATACTGAAGGGACAAACGACTCTGCATTTCAATACGCTGGTCACCTCTGAAACCTGGAATTCCTAGACATACAGTGTATTTCGACACCGGGACATGAGCAACTTTTCTGGCGAATCTGAGTTTACAATCATATTAGCTAGAAAAGTTTTTTTACGCCGTATGACGAACAATATTATTCTTCATAACAGATGTAAGCAGTGCTTCACGGACCCTGTTGTTTGTCACCCGACGAACGACCTCCCGAGTGGAAATTTCGATCCGGTTCAGATCAGGATTCAATCGGGTCAGCCCTGTGGTGAGGAACCACATACCAGTCTTTCTTATCATTTCAATTCTCCTGGCTTCAGGTGATTCAATCACGTTTAATTTATTCCAATTAAATGCTATATTTCAAATCCAGTGACTATGATTTAATATTAGGTGTATAACTTAATCTTTCCCTTTTTTTTCATCGAGGGCAGTGTCTTATTTAAAATTGGAATATTTATGCGCCCGTTGGAGATTTTGAAGAGCGAACCTTACTGTTTTTAATACGCTCTATGTCATGTCCGGGAGAGCTGTATAACTTTACAAAACAGTAGTATATACAAAGTGCAACCGATACGCAGCCCATTAGGCAGTGTATTCTTTACGAGTATTCATTTATTTTGCAAGAGGGATTTCAAAATAATGGACTAGTTGGAAATTATTAATTAAGCTTTTTTAATTTAATGTATCGATTAAATTACAGTCCGGGTGTTTGAAATAATAAGAGGTTGAATTTTAGAAATAATAATAATCAGTAAATTTTTTCAATTCAATTCCTAAATCAGTAGAACTTCTCTGCATTCATTTACAAAGTCGTATGATAAACCTACGTCCGGAATCGAGATACGCGGTAGCGTATCGGCCAAGAAAAGTTTTGAAACTCGCCGCTTGCTACCGGGTATCTATACACGAAGCAACTACCCCCTCCACTACCTCCGAAACACATTTATTGAATAAAATGAAAACGTGATACCCTACGAAAAAAATAGCCTTAGTTACATCACATAAATCGGCCACGAGCTTTCCATTGATATCACTATTTTCTTTTTCGACTTAATATTAAGGAAATTACGCGCATAGCAACGGGATCATATCCACATTCTCGCATTTCACATTATCTCTGAGCACTAAGTGTGAGATTTCGTTTTCGAAGTTGGTAGCAGTGTGCTCCAACCTCACGCGCAGAGGAGGGAGATTTGAATAGCGCATTACTCTTTATCTCTCCTTCTTGAATTCTGCTTATTTGCATTTTTTTAACTCATCATGGACTTATTGTAAAAATTAATGAAAAATTGATGAACAAGGTCATATAGCGCTGTATATTGCATAGAAATTTTTCCCCTATCCTCGATTAATTTAGATTTTCAACTCAGTCCGTGAATAACATGTGGGCGAGTTTATTTCTGAGGTTATTTTACGCGGGTAATTTGAACGTTTGATTTTCTCATGAAATTCTCAAATCGAATCGGAGCATGAATTATAAATAAATGTAGGAAAGAAATACCTTTTTTTCTTAGAGCAGAAGTGATTGAAAATAATTTCTGTTGCGCGGAAAAAAATCAATTCGATTCATACGAAAATGATCGTAGTTTTCCAACTCATTGTCTCGTATCAATCTGTATCATCGGATCCGCGCCACGAACTTTGAATCCTGTCTCTACTGAATTTTTTATTTTATGAAGATTTTTTCTTAAATCCTTCTATTCAGAGTTATCCTCCCCATAATAATCTGATAGCACATTCCATGATCCATTGGATATTTCTTGACTTGGCTTTGATTTTTATTTGTTTATTTTTTGCAAAATTTCTATGGGAATTGTGGTTTCCAGAAAAAAATGTTTCTTCTTTCCAGAAACGACCCCACAAAACTTTTTCTTGGCCCAGTTTTTTTGCAAAAACATTTGTTTTTGTTTTTTTGGGAGTTATCACCATCCATCCATTCAGTGATAATCAAATACTCGACTTTCGGTTTTCAATCGCCTATAATTTCTTCAAGAATCACTTGAATCTCCTTAAATTCCCAGTTGAGTCGATCAACACATGTTTAGACTAATATTTGGTATTCTGATAGCATTCAATGTAATTGAATTTGTTCAATTGAATTAGCAAATGAGAGATTAACCCTCACTTCCGGTGACTCTACCACGTGTTGAATATCACGATAGCGTAATCGGAGACGCCGATTACGCACTACTCCAAAAATCTCAGTTTCACACTTTTTCAAATCACGCAATCCGGATATTCTCCAAAATATTCTGATACGAATAATTCCCAGTTCCCATAGGAAATATCGCGGAGTAATTATCCTAACACTCAGATTTCCACCGAACCCAAAATACGCGAAAAGTGCTCACAATGAGACGCTTGATTTTTCAGCGATGAAAATCTGGGTTTTCCGGGTGAAAATTGGGCGAATTCCTCTGCTGAGAACGTCAGGCACTCGTGAAAGACCCTCCGAAAAATGTTCATTTCACCAAAAGTGAATTTAACAACTAATTTTTATCTTAATACTAATTTAAAATTTTTCAGTTTCACCACTGTTAGAGAACAGGGGTGACGATAAGATTCAGAGCGCTCCAAAATTGCAGGGGGCGGGACCTGGTCGTCTTCTCCGGTCCACTGGATCCACTCTAGCCAATGGAATAACTCCACGTGTCAGGTAGTTCTCTTCATGGGTCAACTACGGGAGTTCTTGAATAATTATATTGACCTCCAGCGCCTTCACGGCCAAGGTGGGAATTCATACCCTCGAATTCTCTCCATCCGGTTGTTTTCATTAGCTCCCAGTCCGCTGCTTACGCCATAGGTGGTTGATATCAAAATTTCAATACCTTTTAAGGATCGATGATCGCAGGGTCAGTACCCTAGGTTATCGACCTCGTTCAGATGTGATTTTCCACTCCAATTGTTTGGGACAATGAATAACCTGGAATTTGACAGTGCGTGATCCTTCCATTGAGTGTCGAGGTTCAGACTCTCCTCCCAGTGATTTCCCAGCCTTCCTTCGGGTCTCTTGATGAGTTCTCACTACTCCTCGATACTGGGTTTCACTCCTCTAACTTTTATTCTCCACCCTTCAGTTTGGTGGTTATTTCCATACTTCTCCCATCGAGGGTTTTCCCTAACAAGCAGACCTCCCACTGGCCGAGTGTTGTTGTCCTCATTCAGGATCCACGTCCCCACTCCTACTTCAGATGGTTGATGGATGAGAAAGATTTCTCTCGAAGTTTTCACAAAATGTACAGTTGTTTGCTCTTATTATCTAAGGGGAAGAAAGGTGAGAAGTTCACTCATGTTTTTAATTCACGCATTTATTAGTTTTATTATTTATTTGAAGTGAACATACCTTCAGCTGTATTATGGTCCGGTCTCAGACCCGACCATAATACAGCTACTAGTAATAAAACGTTCGACATTCCGGGTGTAGGATTCTTCTAGGAACATTGTTGAAGTTTCGAGATAAAATGATTCATCATGTAGATATGAAAAATAATGGGAGCTTATATTCTGGCAACCCCGTCTTTTTCTTCAAGTGAATGGTTTTCCCACATTCTACAGGGTGTCCCATGGGAATGTGTGAAAACTGTTTGATTATTTTTTTTTACTGGAAACAAGGAAAAAGAGAAGGAATACAGTTCCTGATAGAGGAGAGTTGTTATTTTTATTTCACCGTATATTCATTATTCAAATATGTAATTCACCCAACAAAAATAGTAGCTTACAAAGATTGTAGGTGACAAGTGCGATTAATAGTAAATGTTTTCGAAATGAGAGCCATCAACACTGGCGCAATAATCCAAACGTTTCCTAAAACCATGGAATACACGTTCTAATGTTTCCTGTGGAATACCGTGAACAGTCCTTTTAATGTTGTTTATCAAATTTTCGATTGTTTTTGGCTTGCTTGCGTAACATGAATCTTTTATGTAACCCCACAGGAAATAATGACACGGATTCAAATCTGGTGAATAGGGTGGCCAATCTATTCTTCCTCCACAATATTTTGGATATCCCAAACCAAGAACTCGACCGCGATAAACTGTATTAAGAATTTCAAAAACTTTGTGAGTATGGTGGGGAGCTGGTCCATCCTGCATAAAATAAAACGCGTTGACAAGCCCTCTTTTTCTCGCATGAGGGAAGAATTTTGTTTCTAACATGCTTTTGTACTCATTCGGGGTAACGGTAGATTCGAAAAAATGTAGATAGACACCCTTCATGGAGAGAGCAGCGCAAACAGTGACTTTCTGTGGATGAGCAGATTTCGTAACCAAAAAATTGGGTTTTTCAAATCCCCAAAATCTCATATTATTTTTGTTCACGTAGTTGTCTAGCCAAAAGTGTGCCTCGTCAGAAAAAAAAATTGCTGTTTCATGCAGCTCGCCATTTTCAAACATTTGTGTCATTCTTTCACAAAATTCCTTTTGTCTCAGAATCGCCTCCTCTGTCAAACGCTGACACATCAATATTTTATATGGATGAAGTTTCAAAAAAATGTGGAGGATGCGATGCAACATTGATTTGGTCAATTTTAAATCTTGAGCGGCTCTCCGAATGGACGAGTTGGGATTTGCCTTGAAATACTGTTCAACTTCATCGACCTTCTCCTCTGTTGCGGCCCTGGAAGAGTAGCTCTACGATCATGCAAAGTGCCGTATTCCTCGAAATTTTCAATTATTCTAGAAAAAGAATATTACCCGGCCCAGAAACCAACGGGATTTCTACGAAAATCTGCAATGTGTTTTGTTATGTCACACAATCAATATGAAAAAAAAATATTCTAACCTCTTCGAAGTCGTTTCGCTAGCAACTCGTTTGAATCCAAATTTAGTATGAAACCCCCTAAAAGCTTCACAGTATTTTTTCCCGCTCGAATAGAAGCACTCGATGAGATATCTTTTTTCTTGAATTGTCAAATCACTCATTACTGCTAACAAACTAAGGCTCTTGCCACAGTTAGAATGAAACTGACTGGCCCCTAGTAAACGTAACACAAACGTAGAGAGTCAAGGTTATTTTGGATGAGTCGGCAGATAAGTTTACCCGAGTCGAATTTTTTGCCCTTAGTTCAGTCTCAAATTCAGTTCCAACGTGAGGACTATGAGGCTAATGTGGGATCTAGAGATCAACGAAATACATTAGATTTTGAGCCTCAAATAGACCTGGAAATAGTAGTTATTTCCCTTTTATCATTCAAGAGGTCTATATGAGACAATCGATTGGAACTCAGTGGGCCCTCCTAGGCCTCAAACATCATTATCTAGGTAGTCCTCAATGGAGCCTCGCAATTCAGTTCACGAGTATAGTAAATAATTTCATGTTAGTCCAATAAATTTGTTATAATTATACGAAATTGAGCAATTTATTTAATCCAGATAAAGCCATAAAATTTCATAAATTTTCGGAACTTTAATTTTTCCCGGGAAAGAAAAACGTTTCACTGGTAATGATAAACAAGATTCCTTATAGAAATATTGTATTATAAATATTATATTCTTATTAGGACGTCTTTGGGCTCATCGTCAGCGTGCTGGCCCTATAAACCAAATCATCCCAGTAGCGCAGGTTTGAGTCCCGGTGATGAAAGATTTTTTCATCGCCGGAAAACGAACCCAGTGCATGTGGAGTTAGTTATGTGGAGTTAGATATAAGTTAGCTTAGAGGCAAGTGCGGGTAGGGAATTAGGGTGGGGTACCGCATAGGTACTGGGACGGGTAGGTAAAAGACCACAACGGTCATACCATCTGGCACCGCCCAATTTTTATTATATTCTTATTCGTTCCATGCTCTTTTCCTATCGAAACTAATGAAAGATGGAATTAACTAGCTCTAACTGTAGTTCGTTCCGGGGTCAATATTTTTTGCCTTCTTCTAGTTTTTCTACAGAAGTACAAATTACCCGATTCCTGAATTTCTTTATATAAAATAATTAAAACATCAGTAAATTGAGCTAGCAATTTCGCAAAATACGTCAATATGGATTTTAATTTACAAAACACTTTTATTAGAATTTATATTTACTTTGTACCTGACAGATGTAAAGTTCTAGAATTCGAACGACACTCGATCCAAATGGATATGAAAAATTGAAGAACAAATATTCAGGCACTTCAACTGTAGTTTATTTTATATATTAATGTTTTTTGCTATTAATGTTTAATTTGAAACAAAGGTATCGTCATCACTCATAAAATGAAAATGCAGAGTGGAATAATTGATACATTGTTTTATAATCATCGCTTAGTTAATAGAAAGTTGGTCTTCGGATAGAGCTTTCAAGTTTTCATAGGTCTGCGTAGATTGACCCTAGTACTGGAGCTGCTCCAGTCCCCATAGAATACTGGATTGCGTCAGATAGCCCAGTTCCATAGTGATGATCCAGTCCAATATCATGGAACGCTAAGTGGAAAAAAATTTTTTTTTTCAATGTAGAAAAAATCATTCTACGAAATGAAGAACTACTAAACTAATTAGCTTAGTAATTTTAAACTAATGTTAAAAAAGATATATTCTCTTATTAATTAAACTAATTGGCTTAGTAATTTTTCAGGTGGAGTTCACAGAATATGCTGCAGAAAAGAAAGATCTTTGAGAAGAAAAATCGATCAAGATAGCCTGGTTTTAAATATTTCCTAATAGGGAAACAGTGAGGAAAAGGAGAACGATGGGGCAAAGTGAAACAACGGTAGTTGTTTAATTATTTTTCACTTTTGTCGATCGCGCTATGCATAGTTGTGATTAGTTTTCGATGCTGGCTAGACAATCACGGGATTAAAACCTCACATAATTAACCACCATGCCCGTTGTACTCCGGTGTTTCACTTTGCCACACTGTTCTACTTCCCTCCACCCTCTCCCAATGAATTTTTAACAAATGCAATTAATGAATATTCCATATAAAAGAGATATTCGATGTCAAAAAGTCAATGATGTTGATTCTTCCATGCAACTTATTCTATCGAAAATTTTTTGTTAAGAATCGTTGAGCATCGATTTGTTGTTTTTCTTAAGAGGATACGTCGGTGAAATTTAAAAGTTTTCATTGGGCCTTGGGGTCCATTGAACATGAACAGTTTGGACTATATGACGGAATATGCAAATAATTGGGAAAAATCGTGGACCTGATCCACTTTACCCAGTACACGTATGAAAAAATCGTATAGAAATTTTCTATACTGATTGCGTATAGAATTTCTATAGGATTGTCATATATAATATTCGGATACTTCTATACAGATAGTTTTTATGCAAATTATTTCTATACGATTTCTATAGGTTTGATCCTATATGACCCACTGCCACATGTATAGAAACATTTCGTATGGAGTTGCGACATTTCTCTACGTTTTTCTCTGGAGCGTTTAGACATCTTACATATGAAAAAAAAATTTATGTAAAAATTCATGTATAGAAATAATTCGTATAGAAAATATTCGTATAGAAATATCCGAATATCATATACGGAAATCCTATAGAATTTCTCTACGCAATCCGTATAGAAAATTTCTCTACGATTTTTTCATACATGTATAACCACGAAAAATTTAATTTTTTCCTGTATTTACCTTCAAAATACTCCTTGCGCCGTAGTTTTCATACAATGTTTTTTAAATGCTCGTTACACTCCAAAGAATGAAGTTAAGCATCCGCTTTACTTTCTTCG